TCGAGTAAAGGCGTATGAAATTTATTCCACGTTTAAGTTTGGCATTTTATTTTAGCCTAAAATGCAACTATTAAGTTAGAAAGTTTCCTGCGTCCTTATAATTTAAGCTATATACTGACTGCCAAAATAGAGCACATGTATAATGTATAACATGGGATTGTTTTGGCTAAGTTGTATTCCTCTAGATTGAGAAGATTTTTTTTGCCGACGTTTTACCAGATCCCATTTACCCGTCAAGAAGTATCATCCAAAATACCATTAAGACATTACAACCTCACAATTACGACCAATAACGTCATGATTTCCCATCAAGTGAAAGGCCCAGCATTCAAAACAGGCAAACAATTACAGACATTGACGTAGTTTATTTTACTTGCTCGCACACTTAGCTGCGGTAACGGTGAGTCCTATAGACTTAACAAGCAGAGCTACAGAACGCACCAGCCAGTTTACAGGTGCGCCAAGAAAACAAAATAACAAAGTAAAAATGTACATTTGGGAATAAATATTAGTGAAACCTATTTAAGCGAACATCAACTTGTGAATTGGAACAAAATTGTTTCTTAGCCAAGACTGCCTTTAATTACGACTACAGTGGGATAGAAATTTATTTTTTGGGAATACTGTCTGTTTATTTCACTAAAGCCTTCGACCCTGTGGCACACTTTATCGCTAAAACCGCTCTTTATATGGTAGTGGTTGAAATACCACCTCACAGGACGAAGACAGTTCGTGGGAGTCAACGGATGCGACTAACACACATGCGCAGTGTATATCGCACAAGTACCCCAAAGGTCAGTTCTGGGACCTAACCTATTCTCGCTCTTCACAAACGATCTCTCAAAGGCAGTACGTTCTGGGAAACTTATTGTTGTACGCAGACGACACAACTGTTTATTCCGATATCGATCACTTGCTGGCTAAGTATAAAATTGTCATTGCTAACTGACGGAGTTAAAATGCTCAGAAGTCAACCTATATGACTGTAAATATCACGCTTGTCCAACTACTTAATCCTCAGAGCGATAGTCTATTTAGACACGGTAGCGACATATTACATTCTGAACAGCAGATTATCAAAAATATACAAAGTTGCTGTCAAATAAAGTAAAAGATTCAGCAAATTGTGAAGGACTCCATGTTCGATTCCTGCTGCGCTTTTCCGTGGGCGTGGTAGACATGTTTTAGGTTTAACTGGACAACTACCGCATTCAGGATTACGATAAGGTATTCTGTAACTGGAACACAGATCACTTTCCACTGCCCAGGGGTCTTTGTCGTTTTTACAATACGGATTGAAGGTACCAATGACCTCTTTAAATATAGCGTCTGCCACATCTGACTGATTGCAAAATGTCTGCCACGCCAGGACTGTACACATTTTGGCTTTACCACGGTTCCTATTTAGATGAAAACAAACCAAAAGAAAAAAAGAAAAGTTGTGACAGGGAGGTGGAACCTTCCACATAGTTCAAGTCCCAAACAAACGCCTTCTTTTTAGCCTCTTAGGAGCGGAAAGGTCTCCTATTAGTGGACATGACGTTTTCTACTCCAAAACTGTCCGCTTACGGGATGTGATCAACCCTAGTTTCTATGTTCTCTCTATGAAAAAAAGGAAGAAAAAATATAGCCTTAATCATTTAATGTGAATCACGCTCAGTTTCAGCGGACGGGTCTATTGCAGTGCCCTTCGTCGGTTCACCAACCAAGTTCAGCGACCAATAGCGCTGCATTGATATTTGTAGAGTAAGTCAACTGTACAGGGTTCTTTCTTT